GAAATTTAAGATAATGATCTCATCGATTCTATGACGTGGAAGAGATTATATTTAGCACATAAAAATGAAATATTCCCTTATATTTCAAAATTTGGATTGTCTTATTAGGAAATTATATGAATATTTAAATAGTAGATCCAATAATTGTTGTGTAACTTGTAATGCATTGTCAAACTTCTAGAATTGCTAAATTGATCTTGAGATGAAATTTCATATAGACTTGATTGGTTCTAAATTATACAGTATAAGTTAACATATATACAAAACATGCGTCAATTTAAATTTCTATGGACCTCAAAACCAATTGGCAAACAATTGTTAATACCACTATCTCAAACTCTTTTTTAATGTATGATTTTCAATATATTATATGTGTTCCAAAGAAAAGGATAAGTATTCATATGAATATATAAATTTGTTGATCCATACACACTTACTTTAAAGTTTAAAGGATAACCTTTTTTTTTCATCCATCTAATTCCCTTTATGTTTTACCTACTCTTCCTAATAAACATTTCACTATCAACCTATCATATTGTTTATTCCAAGTCTATTTAACAACTATCCTTAGTTTCTTACATGTGATTTGAAATATGATTAGTGGGAAAATCTATGTAAAAGTACAATTATGGAAAAAGCAAAACTATGGAAATAACTGGTTTTATACTCGTTTGATGGTTTATAAACAGTACAAAACTTAAGTAAAAAAGTAAAAGTAAAATTACATAATCCGTGCCTAGTTTTTCCATTGCTTGGTTAGTATTCAAGGACAAATATTGAAATTAGTAGAATTTTAGATTTCCATAGGTTTTCACGTATTTTCCATTGATTTTGGAAACTATTGGAAGGAAAAGTTTGGATAAATAAATGGTCCAACTATACGTACAATAATTTCCACATATCTTTACAATTTTAATTTGTTTTATTTTATTTTATTTTTATTTTTTTTCAATACACAAACAAACTAATGTTTGGTTAGTATATTCATTTCGACACCTTTATTAATTTTTTCATCAATAATGTTAGTTTCATTCTTACCAACCATATTGCTAATCTCTGCATGTGTGGTAACCTTAAATTCGTACGATTTGTGGACAGAGAAACTTTTTGAGGTATATGATCTTTTTTTAATCTACAAATACAATATACATATGATTACTATTAAGAAAAACCGAGCACACATGATACACAAATAATTGCATAGAGTGGTACATTCACATAATCAGATCACATAACCAAAAAGTCAGTGTTTTTCTAAAGTGTAGATAGAAAGGGATCTATTATGTACGTACTATATTAGCAAGAACAAAATCATAAAATTACAGAAAAAAGAGCATAATAATTTGACCCTAAATGACCTATAAAGGTCACTAATTAATTTATTTTTAGTAGGTTATGTTATATGGCATGGACAAATTTGTACCCTACGTAGCACAGCCAAGCCATTTACCACGTGGAGGGACCCTTGCACAATTTCTTTAAAATTGACACTTAAATAATCCAAACCACGAAATTTCTCTATTTTTTTTTTGTAATAAATAATAAATAATAAAAATAAAAAATGTTGCCTAAGTTAAATTAACTACTACTCATCATAATACACCTAAAAAATTTCCCAACTACTCTTATTTACTTAAATGCCATTACTATCAATTCCAAGTCTTACTACAACTACATCACTTCTCTACTACTATAAATACAACAACAATGTAAGCTATCTTCATTCAGTTCAACTACTACATACTATCAATAAACCTCCTCCTTCCTCCTTCCTCCTTCCTTTTCGCGGTTTTATTCTTATTTTTCCACTTTTGTGTAGCAAATATGGGTTCTCTAGCTGAGACCAATGCCGCCACAGGGAGGACAACCGTGCATCGTTTAATAGCTGAGGAAGGATCAGTATTGATGCCGGGTATCCAAGATCCCTTCTCCGCTGCCATTTGTGCCAAAACCGGCTTCAAAGCTTGCTTTGTCTCCGGTTTTGGTGTTTCCGCCGCCCTTCTTGGCTTGCCCGACTTTGGCTTGCTCACGTATGTTTCATTCCCTTACCGTTCTTATTAGTTCTTTTACGTACATAATGATTAAATGTAACAATTTCGGTGTTACATATAACATACTAGGTTAGTAACTAGTTATTTTACGCGTCACACATTATTTTTCGAGATATATATAAATATAGTACTCCGTAGTAAATATTTGAGAAAAAATGCGTAAAGGTATAATATGCTCGTATATTCCACGTGATTGATTTATTAAAAAATTAAAGATAAAGGGTTATAAACTATAATATGTTTGCTCTCTTAATTGTAGTCCGTAGTACCAACTAGTATCAATAATTGTTCTTTAACTTTTTAGTAAAAGTAATGGGAATGTTTAGACATACGTTGACTTAAATCGAATTTTACAAAAACAAAATTGTTTTGCTTCCCACTATCAAGAAATGCAGTACGTACTATATTTTTCTTTTTTAGTTTATAATTATATAAGTAATAAAATTATTATTTTCATTATTATTTTGATAAAAATGGAAATTATCACATGTAATCACATGCATGAATGATGGGTAAATAAAAAAACAATACGAAGTAATAATGATAAAATAAAAAAAGGCAGTAGAAAAGTTTATAAATCTTGAATTTTTATATTAATATATATTTTTAATTTGGATAATGAAATATGCAAAATTTCTCATATGCTTTGTCGCCTCTATGTTTGTATTTTGTGGCTGTATAAGTGGACTTTAAATTTTTAAATTTTTGGTATCTTAATAATTTTTTATTCTCTTTGTCGTTTTTTATAGTATCGGATTTTCTTTTTTGCCCCCACAAGGAGAGTTATTCGTTAATGATTAATTTTGTTAATGCTGCAAAATAAGTCATTGAAACTACAAACCAGTCTAACTAACGTTTCTATAGAAAATGAAACCTGTGACTTGTAGAAAAATAATTAGGTAGGATTTTACTAAATTTCTTTATATTATTTTTCGATAAAATAGGTTTTTTTTAATGTTTAGGAAAAACAATTATAATAATAAATTTCATGTTAAAAAAAATATTACTCCGTATCATTTTAAGCACTTGTAGCAATAGTTAACACGAATTATATTGTGTGATACAGAACCGCAGAAGTTGTGGACACTGTAGCCAGAATTACCGCAGCTAATCCAACTTTGTGCGTCGTTGTTGATGGAGGTAAAAAAAAAAAAAATTATTTTCATCCTTTCGTATTTTATTATTACTAAACGAGTAATTTCTTGATTTACTACGACAGACACCGGAGGTGGTGGCCCCCTTAATGTGCAAAGGTTCATTAAGCAGTTGATTGCTGCTGGTGCCAAGGGAGTCTTTCTTGAGGTAAATAGCTTTGCATGTGTCATTGTTACATTTATTAGTATAAGACAACAAGTTAAATTAAAATAGGATTAGGTTTATTTTTAAAATATGATTAGGTAATTGAGCAATATCTATAATTTATGTATTTAATAAAGAAAGTGACACTAAGTACGTACTAATCAAATGAATTTTTTACTTTTCACAGGATCAAGTGTGGCCAAAGAAGTGTGGTAAGTACTTTTAACATTTACCATTTTTTTTTTTTACCAATTAGGTTAATTTTATAATGTGATTAATTAGTTGATTACTTAACATAGGCCTTAATTAATTACTTCTTGTTCATCTTAATTTATAGGTCATATGCGTGGTAAGAGTGTTGTACCAGCTGAGGAGCATGCCCTTAAAATTGCAGCAGCAAGAGAAGCCATTGGTGATTCTGATTTCTTCTTGGTAGCAAGGACTGATGCTAGAGCACCCCATGGTCTTCAAGAAGCCATTAGACGCGCTAACCTTTACAGAGAGGTACACATTACTTTAATTAGACCAAAATATTCATTTAGGCCACATTTATTTTCCCATTAACAATTATAGAATGTCCAGAAATAATTAATTTTCAAATTAATAATTTTTTTTTTATTTACTATTATGTTAATAGTCTGGAGCTGATGCCACCTTTGTTGAGGCACCTGCTAACATTGACGAGCTCAATGAGGTTGTGAACGGTGTCAAAGGATTGAGAATCGCAAACATGATTGAAGGCGGAAAGACCCCATTGCACACACCCGCGGAGTTCAAAGAAATGGGATTCCATTTGATTGCTCATTCACTCTCAACACTCTATGCTACAACCAAGGCTTTGGTTGGAATCATGAGGGTTCTTAAGGACAAGGGTACTACTAGGGATGATTTGGACAAAATGGTTACTTTCTCCGAATTTAATGAAATGATTGGGTTGGAATCTTGGTATGAGATGGAACAAAAGTTCAAGAACTTCACCCCAAAATCTTTGGAATCCTAAAGAAATGGTTAGCTTGGTCCAATCAAGTTGATTATTTCATCATACAAGAATTGAAATTCAAACACGCTATAATGTAAATTAGTTTGCCAAATAATGGCAATAGAATTTGTGAGCTCATTTGAATTCATGTCATTGTTGCTTATTTAATATTTGTTTGAAATAAAAATGCATTTGAGTAAGGTTGTAAGCTTGATTACTAGAATGAAAGCGAGTTTAGATGCATTGTAATCTTTTGTTCTTGTTCAAATTAGTAAAATACAACCTAGAGTTGTCTTTTTTCATATGAAATGAATAAATTATTGTTACCAAATTTCTTTAGATTTATAATGAGCCAATGCAATACGAGTTGTTGATCTATCAAATTCTAACAAAATCTTTTATAATACGTTGTTGCATTTACGTATGTAATAGTGAGGTGACTAATTCAACATTGATGGATGTTTTTTTTTTTTTTTAAATTTAATAATTTGAGACAAATTACTGAGACATTATTCTACTCTCAACTTGGACCACTTGATACTTTATTAGTTGGTAGTTTGGTATGTACCAAGTTACCAACCTTGTAAAAAAAAAATGTCATCTGGGCACTTCAATGACTATCTTCATGTTTTGTTTTTTTTTTTTTTTTTTTTACAAAGAGAACAAAAAAACTAAAAACTAAAACAAAGTAAAATTCTACGCCTTGCTGCACCTGCAAGCGAATGAGCTTCACCAATCGAAGACCTGGAAACCTTACGAATATGACAAGAAGAAAAGGAAGAAATAACATCCCTAATTTCCTGAATCGTCCAGATCAGCGAAATATCCGACGTAGCAAACTGAATCATCTTAGGAACCGACAAACAATCAGTAAGGAGGCAGAGGCTGACAATACCCTGTTGCCGAGCATGTTTAAGACCAAAAAGACATGCCAACAATTCAGAATGAAGAGCAGAACTAGCCATACAAACTCGAGCACCACCCCCAATACAACGAGAAGAAACCGGATCCAAAAAACACCAGGCCGCACCAGCACTATAATTCCCTCGATCCCATGCCCCATCAAAACACATCAGAACATCACATTCCCATAAAACAGAAGCTTCACCCCTTAACACTTGCCAAGTAGGATAAGACGAGAACCCAGGAGGAATACCGGGACAACAAGCAGCCATTTCACGAGCCTTACCACTTCTAACACTCCATTCCAATGCAAGATCCAAAATACACTGGGGGGAAAAGACTACTGAACGAAAACGAACATTATTCCTAGTAATCCAGATAGCCCAACACATCCCAAAGAAACGATCCAAAGCAAGCCAATGCTTAGAAGAAGCATAACTAGTAATAATAGAAGTAAACCAATCAGAAAAAAGAAAAGGAACCTCAGGCAAAGGAGATGAAGTAGAGGCAAGAGAATTCCACAAACGCGAAGTAAAAGGACATTCCCGAAAAAGATGAACCACATATTCCGAAGAACCATGACAAAATATGCAAGTAGCATCAATCGGAATGCCCCTAAGAGCTAGAACATCTGCCGTTGGAAAGGCATTGTGTAAAACCTTCCAGGCCAACATTTTCCACTTAGGGAGAATGGGAAGACCCCAAAAACGCTTCCACCAAGAGGAATCAGTAGTCACACTCCTAAACGAAATGTGTTGAGATACAAGAGCAGCATATGCCGATTTAGTCAAAAAAGCCCCATCCCTATTATATTTCCAGTAAACAAAATCATCAATATGTTGCTTTGGCCGCTCAAGCCCAAGAATAACCGAAGCAACAGAAACAGGAAAGAGCTGCCGAATTAACGACAAATTCCATATCCCAGTATCATGGAGTAATAAATCAGACACCATCAAAGGACGATCCTCCACAGGAATACAATCCTTGAATTCAACCTTAATATTAGGCACCCAGTAATCCTGTAAAATACTAACCTGGGTACCTGAGCCTATCTTCCAGGCCAGACCCTGAGATAAAGCTCTACCACCTTCCAACAAACCACGACAACCCCAAGAAGGACGAGGAGAAGAAATCAGAGGTTTGGAAGAAAGTAAAGCAGGATACTTAGCTTTAAGGACCCGAGAAGCCAAAAGCTGTGGATTAAACCGCAACCTCCAAACTTGCTTTGCTAACAAAGCCAGATTAAAAGAATGAATATGACGAATACCTAAACCTCCTAAACCTTTAGGGAGATGTAACAGTGAAGAGGAAACCATAGAAAGCCCCCGAGAATCCTTATTAGATTTCCACCAAAATCGAGACAATAACGAGTCAATTCGATCACAAATAGTAGCAGGAACTTTGAAGACAAAAAGCACATGGTTGAAAGTAGCAATGAGAACATAATTAATAATTACCAACTTCATGTTAAAACAATGGAGTTATAAATTCAACAAATCAACATGGTAAAATCCCTCATGATTGGAACTTCCGAAATTTTTGGCTCCTGATTTTCTGGTGACTTTGCTCTGATTTATAATTATTAGGTATTACGGCCCGTTTACTTCACCTTATTTTTGCTGAATCAAAATTAATTTTGTTGACTTTGCTGATTTTCTGGTGACTTTGCATTGACCGGGAGCACACATGTTGTAAACTAAGGTCGAAAATCTCGCTTGTAAATAAAATCTAGCAAATTGGATCATACTCAATATCGAAATCACTCGATAAAATCTAATCTAATTCGAACTAAACTGATTTAATAGTCAATATTTAATGGGAAAATACAAGTTAATCTGCCAGATAAATGAATTTTTGTTAATCTGATGGCATTTTTGTAAATATATTGAAAAAGCAGGGTCATTTATTCAGTACTTTTGGTGAGTTGTCCAATTAGTGTTTACAACTTGTTTTTACTGTTTGGTGAGGAAATTACACATGTACCTCTCAACTAGTGCTTGAAAAGACGCATATACCCCTTCACTGGTACTTGAAAAGACAATTATACCCCCAAATAAACAAATATTGTTTATCTAGGGAATTAACTAGGCATTCCTCATATTTAAATTTTTATAATAATAATTTTAATCAAAACAAGCATATTTCCGGATAAAAAGAAAACAAATAACCCAACCGAAATTGACCCAATCGAATCCGAATAAACTGATTGCCACCCTTATTCATAAATCTCTTAAATTTGAAATGGGATGGTAGTTGTTGGTTCAAGTGACTTGATTTTGTTTCTTTACATTAAACGAAATGGTATAGATTTATGCATCGATATTTAACAATTCAATTATATGTATAAATGCTTGTATTCGTCAACTTGTCCAAAACAATTTAAAAAACTAATGAGTGATGATCAAATTTTCGATTTCAACTAGTAAAATCAACGAATGATGAGTTTGAGAATTTGAGCAGCCATAACTTTTTTATGTCAATTATATATAGTGGCAACGTATTTTTCTAGTTTTATGGCTTTAATTAAATACCAATTGAGTTATCAGCTTAATTATTGAGCTATCAACTTACATGACATGCATGTTTCGATTACAAATTGTAGCTTTTTTTAATCTACAAAACATGATGAAGCCATAAACAATGCCATGATCTTGTTATCTTTTCCAATCTTAGTTCATCAAATCCAGCTCAGATCAAATGGAATATTAGTTTGTGCATTCATTATAATTATATATGGATTAATTAAAACACCCATAGTATCAATGAATAATAATGAATCAACAGTTGGCATTATTGGAAATGCGTCATGGTGACATGGTAGACATAATACTCCGTATTAAAATAACTATAATTAAGTCTTATGACTTTTTTTAAAGTAAGGAAAATGATCCTGATGAAATCAATCTGGTCTCGCTTAGTACGCTTACTGCTTTTTTAGTTCATTATTTATGGGCTAGATTGACACTTAGCTAAGAGTGAGCGAGAAGCATAAAGTCTTGATGCTTCCCAAAGCCAGTCTGTAGACTACCCTACTACGTGAGGCATGTTGGCTTCGTAATCTTGTAATTGAGCTATAATTCATTGCCCTCGATATATTGTGAAAATTTTTGGAGCACTTTATGTCTTTATCTTTTTTTAGCAACTTAGCTCTAAACTAATGCATCAAACATTGTGAGCCGATAGTTATTATACATTTCAGTCCACTCAAAAAAATAAAAAAAGGGTAGCTTGCTTGTGTCATATTCAAGTTTTTCTTGTTTGTATTAGCTAGGTGTTACTTTGATCTCTATTCACAATTCAAAAGGCGGCCTACAAAGAGGCTTATTTCTATATTTTAGATCGATCTTGCTAACGAGCGCCTCGGGGCGTTAGATAAGGATAAATTATATTGGTTGAAATGGTATTAAGTTAGGAATTCATGATAAAATCACGCGTCGTTCGGTGTAATTAATGTAAATTTTACTCTAATATTTGCACTTTAATTCTCTTATCTAACGCCCCGAGGGCGCTCATTAGCTTTTGCCATTTTCGATTAAGTTTTAATTAGCGTGTGACATTCTTTGAGTGCGTATGTTAGGGAATATATATTATACATTTATACAAGTTCTCTTCACATGCTTTGAATAATTCATGTGATTAGATCTTAATTGTTAGACAAATTTCTAACACTGCTTGTATTATCCTTAAACCTTAATAAATATGTGATCGATGGAACGTACCCCAAGTTTTACATAATCTAATAACGCTATGTCCAAATCACAAGTTGTTACTTGTTAGTGTTCTCTTGCAATATTCACGTAATTTTCTTCTTCTCTCGCATTTAAGATTCCAATTGCTGACTAAAGATTAACTACGATGGTAATTTCATAATTACCTACATAGTCAATAGTTTCATTATAATTACCTACGCATACCAAACTGTTTGGGTTCAATTTAGTCCAATTGGGCCTAGGCATTAAATGATCCAATTAAAAGCCCAAGGTCAAGGTTCAACTCTCCAATTGTGCTAAAGTCAAAGATCAGCCCTCAAAGCAAGCCAATTGGGCTAAGGCCCAACTTCTCCATGTATGAAGAGGTATAAAAGCCATCAATATTACATTTTTAGAGGAGACACATTCATTCATTCACATATTCTCATAGATTCTCATACATTCTCATATATTCTCATATATTCAAGCAAAGCCTCAAGCAACTAATTCTCTTGCATAGTGTTCTCTTTCTACACATTGTACTGACTTTAGCATCGGAGGGGCCTTCCTCGGCAACACCCCCGAGGCTAGTTTACGTGTGTTTACTGTGCAGGAAACCTTCGGCCCAACATAACTTGGACCGAATCTAGTCTTCTCCGTTTCAGCGGACCTTCGGCAAGGTCCCATTGTTTTCACCCGAAACAATTTGGCGCCGTCTGTGGGGAAGACTTTCAAAAATCTTTAAGCCAAATTTCTAACCAAGATCATCTTGCAATTATCTTAGTAGCAATGGCTAAGAACCGCAAGAGCAAAGGCCTCCGTCAAGGAGCAGGCGAAAAGCCTAAAACCCCTACACCATCACCCTCGCCGGACCGGAACTCTCCCAAGGGTGCCAGCTCGGGGGGAGGATCATACAAGGAGGATTCCCTTTCTCCCGTAATTCATGACTCTCATTATAGGCCGAGTCACTCTCGGTCTAGCAGGGGTGAGTCCGATCATAGGACACATTCAGTGCCCCAAAGCCAACCATCGACTGTGCGCCCTCATTCCCATACTCGGCCGAGGACCCCTTTGACGGGGCCCAGCTCGGAAGAGGTGGCAAGAGCGCTGGCAGTGCTCATGGAGGCGATGAGGGCACAAAATATGCCTCCACCTCGTGATCGAACTCCTCCGCATACCCGGCATCAGCGGAGGAAGTTAGACCATGATGGTGGGAAGCTTCCTTCCTTCCGGGAACTGGAAGAGTGGGAAGAGGATACCTGGAAAAATGAAAAAGAGAGGAAAAAGAACCCTCAATTTTTAAGAGGATCCTCATCTTCCCGACCAGAAACGCATAAGAGCAGCAGCTCAGCTTCTCGGCCAGAATCTACTCACCGAGAACCTGAGATTGTTCGCCGAAGCGTCCTCGACCGACTCGGCGGCAAGGAACCGAGCGTGCGCAGTCGCCTCTCGTTCCCTGCGGCCGAGGCCCAGACTTCCTAGCCAGGGACGAAAACCACTCCTACCTCTCTAAGAGGGCGGAGCGGGGTCCCTTCGGCCAGGAACAAGGGCAAGGCCGTTATGCTACCCGCCAGTTCGCCATTCGAGCAATGGATACTGGAAGAGCACGTGCCCACGGTTAAAATACCGTCGCACATCACATATGACGGGACCTCGGATCCGAAGGATCACGTGGCCTCGTATGAGACTCATATGCATCTTTGCCCCAGATCCGAAGCGACTTGGTGCAAATATTTCCCAACCACTCTCAAGGGGGTCGCGCAAGCGTGGATCTCCAAGGGAGTAAAGCAAGGCTCCATAACAGGGTGGGATGATCTGTCCTCCAAATTTAGGAGCAAGTTTTCCACGGCAAACCGCCGAGAGAAGACTACTGCAGAACTCATGAGTCTGCAACAGGGGGAAACCGAAAGCCTCCGAGACTATCTGACCCGTTTCAGTAACGAGTCATCCAGCGTCTCTCAGCTGGACCAGGGGCTAGCCGTTTTTGCAATGCAGAATGGCCTTCAGCCCGGGAGGTTCCTAGACTTCATGGTCATGCATACCCCGCAGACCTTGGAGGAAGCTCTGAATGCCTCGGATAAGTTCATCCGAGCCGAAGAATGGAACAAAGTGAAAACCCAACCTCAATTTGGGGGAGGGAAACAAAAACAAATACCCTTGTCTGAAGGCCAAGGCCATAAGGCAAAGGGAAAGTCAAAGGCCTCGGAGCAATCTTCGGCCAGCGACCCAAAGAAGGAAAAATATGCCTCATACACAGGCAGATACGAATCCTACACTCTGCTCTCTCTTCCACGCGCCAAAATTTACGGCGTGACGAAGGAGGAGCAGAGTTACCGAAAGCCGAGACCACTCCCAGAGTGGTATCAACGAAAAAATAAAAATCAGTGGTGCGAGTTCCACGAGTCTTCGGGTCACAACACTGAGGAGTGTATCCAACTGAAGGACCAGATAGAGGACATGGTCCGGAAGGGATACTTGAAAAAATACATCGCGGATCACCGCGAGAAAAAAGAATCCGAGAAGTCAGCAAAGGACTCTCGGCAAGACCTCGACTTCCCCCGGAAGAACAGTAAAAAGCCGGAGGGGAAATTCCCTCCGATCAATGTTATCTCGGGAGGAATATACTCTCGGAGGGAGCACAAGCGACACCTTAGAGCTTTGACTCACCAGGTGAACAACGCTGACATTCAATCTCCCCAGTCGCCGGTGCCGAACATGACGTTCACAGCCGCCGACTGCCGGGGGATAACGTTCCCTCACGACGATCCGTTGGTGAT